ATAATGATTCTACCTTTAGTAATGATAATAATTCTATTTATAATAGTAAACTTATTAGTTATATCAATCAACAATTACATGAATGTGTTATATCAGATAATAATATTGATATTGACAAAATAAAAATGGATACAGAGAATATAAAAATGGATATTGATTCTAAAAAGAGAAAGATGAATATTGCACTGCCGAAAAGATAGAAATAGATATTGATTCTAAAAAGATAAAAATAAATATTGATAGCTATTATATGAAAGATTAAGAGTAATAACAGGAAATTTATTAATTATTTTACGATGCAACGTTTTATGTATTTATTTTGTCTCTATTTTATTATAAATAAAATAGTCAAATTAACTTCATAATATCTTGATTTGTAATATATAAATAGAAATTTTCCCATAAAAATTGGTTTGTTTGCAATAGTTTAATAAATAGCTTATTACACTGGCGATCATAAATAATGCAACAAAAAAAATTTAGTTGGATCGTATTATTTCATGCAATTCCGGGTATATCTGTTAAATTTTTTTATTTTATTCGCAAATAGCAATATTGTATTAATAAAAAAGATTTAAAAATTTAGTGATCAAAACTTTTTTGGGGCACGAGCTTTATTTCAATATACGTGTTGCATTATTTTTGCTTGTTTTAACAGCAACATGATTGTAAAATAAAAAAATTTTTTTGGAGTACGAGTTTTATTTCAATATACGTGTTGCATTATTTTTGCTTGTTTTAACAGCAACACGATTGTAAAATATAAAAATTTTTTTTACAAAAAAAAAAAATTATATATTTTCTAATAATTTTAAGTTGTCATCATCTAATGTAATTGTCTTGGGTTCTAATTACATCACAGATTCATTCTGACATTGAACAAATTAATCTCATGCAGATTTCAATATAGATTTCCTGTCAAACCTTTTGAATTTTTTTTTAGAGGTCTTTTTTACTTGAAATTTGACTAGGAAGGTCTTAAGTTGATGATTAACTTTATCTTACAAGTGTTTGATCAGGTTAAGATCAGTTGATTGAGAGGTTAATCAAAAAACTTTACTTTATTCCTTTTAAGTTAATGTTTAGTCAAGATTTCTATATAACAAGATGTTTTATCTTAATGAAAAATAATTTCATTAACTTCAAATTCATGATCTTCAATTATTCATATTAAATCTTTATAGAATATTTGATAGTACAACTTATTATCTATTATACTATTAATTTTACAATAGTTGTTAACATCATAAGAGATAAAGCAATTCTAAATAATAATTAATCCATTGTCAAATTTTATAATAAGTTTAATATGAAACTAGTTTAACAATTATTTATAATATTTTAAATAATATTGCTTATTATTTAACTTAAAATTTTGGAACCTTGATTCATTTAACCAAATTACCTTAGATCAATCTTCAACAATTACAGAAATTTTTAAACTTAATAATTATTTAAACAAATTTGAAAAAATCTTTTAAAACAATCTGTTATATAAGAAATTCATTTTTTATATAGTGTCACAATCCAAAATAGGATCGTCAATAATTTATTAAAGATGATTATATAATTAAACAGTAGTATAGTATATATGTAGCATAATTAGCAGATATAGGGTATTTAGCATAATTAGCAGATATAGGGTATTTAGTGTAATTAGCAGATATAGGGTATTTAGTATAATTAGTAGATATAATGTATGT